GGCAGATTAACATGCTGTAGACCTGTTTGCTGATGGCAAATTGTTGCTGATCTGATTTTTCCTATTTCAGATGGCCTGAATGTTAGCCAAATGACACATAATTATATATTTATATAAGTGAAATATCCTAACATTTTGTATAATAGCTATTTAGTAAATAAAAATAACCAACCCCTTAACCTTCTAATTGAAGCTAATTGCAATGCATATGGGGCTTGTGCATGTGAACCGTGTATCAGGCCATTTTGTTGTTATCACCAAAAGCTTTGCTTTGATATCGAAGCGAGGCTTTGTGATGGAAACAATAGCATGACTTAAACCCATACAAGACCAATTATCTTGCTTTGATGCTAGAAATTGGTAAAGCTGTTGGATAGTCATTTCATTATTTTATTATAAAATACATTATTAAATTCACAGGCATTTATTCATACACTGGATGAAGACACAGTGAGAAAACTGGCAATTAGAAGCCTAAGGAAGAGGAATAAGGACTACGGATTATGTTCACACATGGGCTCGGCACGGATATTTGGGCAAAGGGAATCGCAGTGTTTGCCCCTCTTGTGTAGTCCTCAAAATAAGACTTTTGACTGAAGTTTATATGTGGTACAGAGAACAATAATATTCATGAACCTTTGGTAAACTTTCTAAAGCAAAGGGAATTTGATTTTAATAATTTATATTCTAATTTATGTACCTATATGTATATAGTAAGTAATAAAGATTTTTTATATTGTGTACAAAATTGGAATGTGTCACTGTTACATCAGTTATGGTAAAAATCAGTATTTTCGTTTTGGTATGTCCACACCATTGCTGGTGTGATATATGTTGCTGGTGTGATATATGTGCAACAGTGGGGAGCAATGTTGCATTTAAGGAAACATGGCAGGTGACATAACCATCATCATGCAGTCAATCTGTTGCTCGTTGGATAACCTTTGAAATGAGAACTGGAATGCACTCGAATCCTTTTTCAACTTTCACACTTTTCACATCCCACTGCCTAGTCCTTCTGTTGTTGGAAAGGCTCATGACTTTGTAGTTTGTACAGGTGACTCAACACGAGAAAGGGTTTGTCATCTGACCTTTATTTTTAATGGTGTAGATGTTTGGGGTTCTGAAAGCAGGAAATATGAAATATTATACAGCACTAATACTTGTGGTCAATGCTGTAAATTAATATACAAATATAAACCAATTCTTTTTATAATTTTTGACACAATTTTTCTGTCTATATACCTTGCAAAATCTTATTTTGAAACTGAATATTAATATTACTCCCATTACAAAGCACATCCTATATAAAAGTGAATGTCCTCTTCATACCTTGGCTGATGTTTGCTTGTTCTTCAAACCATATGAGACTCATTGTGTTCTACTTCCGTTGTCAAGACAGGACTCAGTTGCCACCAGAAAGGTCCAGAATCGATGTGCTTGAATTTCGTCGTTGTTTTGGTAGTATTTTTGCAGACGCTGATTCCCCTAAATACAAAGCAAAATAAATTGCACATTAGGCTCGTTTACTCTTCTAAATATATTGAAAATCATATTGTAAACCTACCTGCGGCGAAATTCCAATGACAACAGATGTGCAGCAAAGTTAGTGTCATTTGAATGTTCATATCCACCACTTATTTTGGCCTCTTGCCACGTATCAAATGTCTTATCACTTAAATAGATCCTTCTGTGCTCTTTCTCCCATAAATTTCTGTACTCTTTTCGGCTCGAAAACACCTTTTTTCGACCAGCATTTTCCCTTGAACCCCCGTACTGAGTCAGCATGACGCCCCGGGCAGACGCCATATTGAAATTCGATACACTTGAAAAAGTTGGGTCAACTTTTTCAAGTTGATCTATGCGCAGAACGGATGCGCAGCCGGTGACACTGCCGCTTTAATGCTAAGTCACTATATGCCTCGTAGCTACCTTTACCGGGCCACCATCTATTTATTATTAATCTATTGAGAATAAATGTAGATGTATTAATACATCGTATCCATGATGTTTGAAAGGCATGGGTTAAAAATTGGATGGGTATTCTGCAATGCCAATCGCGCCTGTCGGATGTCATCACCACACAAGGTATGAAGCCACAATGTGTCCTGCTCAGATTTTGACATCTCAACCAAGCAATACCGATTTTGAAATCACCAATTGCGAGCGACGAGTATCCGCTGAATATTTTGTTTAAGGGCGCGGGTCAATGATGCGTCCGACTATCAATGAGGAGTCCGACTGTCTACGGAAAAAAATTTGCGGCGCCGCCACTGCCCGGTTTACCCGGGACTGTCCCGATTTGGACTATGTTGTCCCGGTGTCCCGGTTTTCTTCTTATTGTCCCGGTTTCTGTAGTATTTTAATAGTTCTATTCTTCAAATAAGGCTCATGTGACAAATATTAATGAAATTCGTTTGGTTCAATACATGGTAATGAAATGGGAGCTTCTAGTTGCCCCAAACAATTGCCCAGTTTGTCACCGATCGTTGTAATTCTCGTGACATACGTTGTTTTGACAATTTAGTGTTCGCTTTCAATTCCTGTTCATTTTGCCAGGGCTACATGAAGTAAAGCAGCGTAACAGAAGCGGGCGCAATAATCGCGGGCTCTTGAATAGGAGAGGATCACAGTTCAAAAGACCACTGGTAAAACGAAACAATTTTGTCAGTACAGGACTTCAATCATTCAATGAAATTAAAGCTTGTTGAGAAGATGTTATATTACTTATGGGTTTCAACGTTAGTGTAATAAAACTAGTTTTTGTAGCATCTACTGTGAATTTATTGTTTAATGGCGGTGAATAGGTTTTCGGATCGTTGGATTCCGCCGAAAAAATTGTTCGGATTTTGGATTTGGCCAATATTTTACACGGATTTGCGGATATTATTAATACTGATAGCGGATTGCGGATCTAGTCTAATTTTTGGCTCGGATTGTGGATTTAGCTTGCAATTTAGTTCGGATCCTGGATTGTGACTTCATAGTAGAGCTTTTAGCGAATCCAAATTTAAACAAGACCATTGTCGGACGGCGGATTTTACTTCAAATTTGGGCCGATCGGCGGATTTGTATACCCAGGGCGCTGTAAAACATATTGTTTTATAACGCCCTGGTATACACCTATTCACACACCCCTTTAATTCAAACTCAACTCAGCCAATTTTAACACTAACCCAAATAGACACCACATCAATGAGAAAGGTGTGGCATTTATTCGATGGAGGCGTTTATTCGAGGGAGGCGTTTGTTTAAGTAAAATGGGAAAATTGGGAAGTGTCCCGGTTTTGAGGACTCGGAGGTTGGAATGTCTGCTGAGTGATCTACCATATCCCTTAGTAAGGAACCACATTACAAGGAACCACATTCACATCATTGTGTGCCTCATTTACTCGGGATCCAAACAGAGATTAAAACATATTCCATTGTAATGGAGTCTAATTGTTAGACATGGAAAACAATAAATGACAGAGTACAGGTTATTATTTGATGCTGCATTTCATGAGCAGAAATTATAATGATGATATACATAGGAGATGCTCTGCATGACATTCACAAGACTGAAGGGATACTTGCATTGCGATTTAATGTCAAATACTGTTTCGGTTTGTAGCCAAAAAGGTTATCCAGTAAAGTTTGGGAAAGTTTGTCAAGTCATGATGTAGGAATACACAAATTAAGAAATATAAGACAACTTATACTCATATAGCACCAGAAGTTCCCAATGGTAAACAAATCAGTTACTAAAGCCAGTGATGTCTTTTCACTAGGTAAAATAATTAAGATTATTGGTGAGCAGATAGGAGATTAGGACCTTATTTCATTGGATGACAAATTTTCTTCTCCTTCACCATTTTGAAGACCAAGTCAATCTTGCAACCCTTAATTATAAATGGTCAAAAACAAGTAAGACAGGTTTTTACTTAATCAATTAAACATACTAATAAAATAACATTTTTCAGTGGATAATGTATAGTTAAGCTTGTGAAACAGTTCTTTTACCAGAATGTCGTCTTTCAGATAGCAACCGTTCCTATTTTACAATGTTCCACTGTATAATATAATCAACACTATTTTTATATTATGGAATTATAGCACACAAGTCATGTAAGTGATGAATGCTGTGCATATTTTGTTCCATTTGCTTATATTGTTTGTGAAGGTTTATTTGTGGTATTGCAATTCTGAAGTAAAGTATTTTATATTTCCAATGTTCATAGGACTGCTGCAGTATTTCTCAGTATATACTTAGCAATCAATATATATTTAAATTACAGTATTTTAAACATTTTTAACTTGAAAAAACATATAGTCCAGCATGAACTTCTAAACTGTCAAAATTTTTCATCTTTGGCCGCTGTTCATTAAGATTCTATGTTTCGGCAATCAGTTCATTATCTAATCTCTGATAATAGATACAGTTCTTAAGATGTCATGCATATTCTGGTGATGTTCTACAGTATATAATTATGCAACATCATTGCTCTAATTAATTACCACGTTTAATGCAATATTAGTCAACTTATAAGAGAACATGGGACGAATCATGCTGAATTATTCGACTATATAACTCCTAAGACAGACAGATGCAATAATCCTTCATAGGTTTATTACAAATATGTAGACATTTGAGACGCTGTCAATATCTGAAGAAAAGGTATATTAAAGCCTTTAAATAGACGAGTTCGATGCACAATTTCTGGTCTTTTACCATAATTATCCCATGCTGGTTTATTCGCTACATTATAAACCTCCTTCACACAATAGCCCTTCTTTAAAATACCAAACACTTTGAATGCAATTGAGATATGAAATGTCAACAAGAAGCCAATTCAAGATGGCAAATCAGTCAAAAGTGCAAATCAAAACCCATATTTATACGGCGAGTACGCGCAATTTCTGATCGGTTTCGACACCATAGGTTGAAGCCATGAAGATAAACTTTATTTTAAGTTTAGAGATTTCTGGTTTAACAACATCACTGCGTCGCAAATAGCAAATTTATCCTTGCGGAGGGTACTTTGAGGCAAATTTCGTGATTTTACACAAAAACGCAGACAATATAAGAAAATGTGCTAAATTCAAAATCAGTTTTATGGTACTGTGCATTCATATTTTGGGCATCTACAAAGCGCAAAATACTACCCAAGGGACACTACCCCTATTATAATTTTGGAAAAGAGGGGTGACGCAATGTAATAATGGAAACTAAGTCCGAGAAGACGTGCATAATATATTCAAAAAATGTGCGAACTTTCATGATATTTATTTCTCCTGCTAGTAGCTAAATTTTGCTGCTTGAAATACGA